TTCCAAGGCATGGCTGTTACTTTTAGTACTAACAACTCAACATGTATAACAGTGGAAATTGATTATATTTTCCTCTAGATTATTTTTAAAGACTACCACTTTTAGGTTGCAACTCTGTGTTTTTAATATCTAGAAGCCTGCTCAGTTGGGGAGAAGAGATGGGTATTCAAAATTCCAGTTTAAATGAAGAGATTACATCACACCAAGTAGTTCTTTTAGTTTAGACATCATTTTCTATAACAGTATTGCTGGAGAAGACTATTATTTTTCATTACTATATTCTAATGTTCCTCAGAAGTATTATGAATTATTCTTGATCAAACCACCACTAGAGAGTTGCCACCTATACTTTCAGTAGGCTTTGCCCATTATAAAAAATACTCTTTCCTACACCAGACTCCCACAGTAAGTAACAACTTTTGTAGAAGCTTCCCATCCAAACTCACAATTCTTATAAAAGAGTATTATTGTATACAAGCAATCACTGTGTTCTCTAATTATGAGCTATATATTTCTCCTCCCCTTTACACAAATGATAATGTTCCAGTGTTCACTGTTTTATGTCATAATAGCTCACAACCACTTCAGCAAGTATCATAGACCTGTTGAGCTAGATAGCAAGCTCAATCACAACAGATGCACTATAATCACATGAATTTAGTAATGTGTTTTGGGCAGAAAAGTTGGAATAGCAACTTAAAGTAGATTGGAATGTCACTAGAACATAATGTTAAATCTGACTATTTGTGGACCATCATCGTAGGAAAGCACAGTTTATAGAACTCCATGTATCTCTTTTGAAAAGAAAAACAGAGCAGGTTGAATCCAGTCTTAGTCACAATTCAAAAGGCTTCTTGGACCCAACTAGCATCATCTCCTTGCCAGATGTAATTTGCCATGAAGGGTAAGGGTATAGCATACACCCGACTGGCCAAATCTTACCAAGTGTCTTGTCAACATCCTCAAACCAAGCAAATTAAAATTCATCCAACAATACAGGACAGCCTTCTGGATACACCCACAGAATGATGTGTCCTGATCATGGCATATACAATCAACCTTGCAAAATGATTCACTGCCCTCATTTCAGGTGAATATCAAGGAGACAAATGGGCTCTATGAAGCAGGACAGGCATCTCAGGATCAATCATGTGAATCATCTTAGTCATCCCCTCATTCTACCAATTAACTAGAAATAAGACAGGAGTACCAGTCACACCGGCTGGAAAGTTTCCCAGAGCCTTCTGTAATCCACTGGAATTCATCAGACTGTGGTGGATCATTCTTACAGGTCTTCCACACTTTCAGAGGAAGACAGTTGTTAATCTAATGATCTGCCCATTACATGGAACAAACTTTAATATCTCCCAACCTCAATCCACTATCCTCCTTGCTCAGGAATGAAAACGAAACCTAGAGTGTGCCCTGTTACATGTGTTTGACCAATGACATGTTGGGAGGACCCCATGGTTGGCATGGCACCCATGAAGTCTTGAGCTGCTCCACACCCTGTGGTCCCAAGCATGCATGTTGAAAAAACCCAAGACCATCATCCTGCCAATCTGCAACACCAAAACTGATACCACATCTGTCAGTTTAGGTGGTGAAACTGCTGAGCAGCAGGATGGGTGGTACACCAGCAGAATTCCCAGCCTCACTAAGTTACTACTTAATAATCCAAGCTTCATCACAACTTCTACCAATTTTACAGTGCAATTCTATACATACCTACTTGGAAATAAAAGTTTTTTGTTCAGTAAAGCTTTCTTCAAAGTAAATGTATATAGGATTACCACCTTAATTGTCCCTGTTCTACCAGTGTATGCTGTACTTCAAATCTCTACCTTAGGAACAAAAGGATTTAAAACCTATTCCAATGGAAGCATAAGCAGCAGAATTAATATTAAAAGTATGTTTATGCTTATTGTTTGGTATAATCAAGAGGAATAAACAAAATTTCAATTTTATACACTGAAGTTTGGTCATTATCCTTGACATTTGGGGTTTTGTAACAGCAATTTATATTTCACCTAGTTCAAAACATTAATATCTGATAAACTGAAAGCTTCACTGTTTTTATAGTAGATTCTGTAGATTGCATCTGAAAAGCTACTCAATATGAAATACATCCCTGAATTTCTATTTCATTAATACAAACATCTCCTTTAAGAACAAGCCAAGAGCAAAGTGAAGAAAACATCAAATCTTCTGTGCCTCTGTGTGACTGCATTAACAATTTCTGTGCTATCTGGCCTTTACAGATCATTCATTACATTTCTAACTAGCTGTCATAATACTATTGTTTCTGGCAATTTCCATATTACTTCTTAAAAGTTATGTTTGTATCAAATGCTAATTTCATTTTAAACCAAGGTATTTTTTAAAGAGAAACAATATAAGTAGCAATGTTAGACTTAATTTCTTTTGAAGTTATTTTTCTTGCCCAGCCAGAAAAAAACCTGTACTGAATAGATAATTCAGCCTAATGATAAACCCTGAGCAAAACACCTACTCTGCTATGAAACTCTCTGGGTGGGATTCTAAACTATAGGCAAGTCCACACTTCATGTGCTGGACACAATTGCTTCAGATTCCTGCATTTCAACTACACATGTCTCTGCTACACTTTTAAATACACATACATGTATCTGGAAGCATGTCCTGGGGGTAGCAACATAGTATGGTCAAGCAAATGAACTCTGAAAAGCCCATCATGCATATGGCCTGCTGCTTAGAAAACAAGCATCAGGTGAGGTGACTGTATTATCACCAGTATTATCTTTAATACCTTTATACTTTCCTGAGGCCAAGAAGCATTCTGAGGAAAGGTAAATAGAAGCACCTGCTTTAATCATCTCACCCTGTGATCCTCTTCTCAGTGCTGGGCTGACAGAGTACCTTACCTAGAGCAACTCTCCTACAAACATTTTACATTTGGGATCATTTGACTTAGGAAAAAAGTAAAATGAGTGAAGGCCTATTGAAAGTATGCAAAAATTATTCATAATGTAGAGAAAATTATACAGAAAAATACTTTCTCAGAATATAGACTCCTAGATCATTTGATGAAGCTGGTTATACGAAATTCAAGTCAGATAAAATTATTACTTCATACAGCACACAAGTAAACTATGGAATTTGCTATCACAAGATGATGGCCACCAACTCAGCTTCAAAAAGGGATTGGACAACGTTACGGGAGATATGGTTATCATCACTGGCTACTACACATATTACCTCTATATGCAAACACAATATGCCTCTGTATACCAGTTACTGAGGAACATGATTAGCGTGCTTCTGCCCACACTTCTGCCTACTTGTAGGCTTTCCAGAAGCAGCCAGTTGGCCACTGGTGAATGGAATGCTGGATTAAATAGGCATCTAGTCTGATCCAGGAGGGCTGTTCTTATCACAGAAAGCACTTGGAGAGGCAGAAGACATTTTACCCTGATGGTCACACCATCTGGAATATGGAACCTTGATGTCAGCAAGCCTTCCTGACTCTCACCTTCTATACTAATATGTTTGCTGCTGGGAACACCTATGTCCCAACAGTGCATACCCACAGAAAACACAAAACAAAGCGTGAAACCATCCTATGTCTCAAGTCTAAATTAACAATTATAAGACCTGAACAAGACTGTCAAGGACAGGTCATTTTGGAAGGCATTTATGGGATGCCATAACTCAGAGACAATTTGACAGCATGTAATAATAAAATTAACAGGGACTAAAAAAAGGATAAACTGAAAACTCCAGATGACCTTGTATCATTGTTCCCTTGCACCATGAAAAGTGTGACAGCTGGTATTGACAATAGAGGAAAATCCTGATGGCTGGATTTCCCCCTTCAAAAGAGTCTCAGTTGGTTCAGAGGGAACCATTTGTATGCCAAAGAATTCTCCATGAACCTGCCTTTACACTTCTGAGCTCTGCAAAGGTTTTTCTAATGTGTTTGATTTAGAAGAAATAGCCAAGACTGCTGGTCATGGTCTCATTCAAATTGAAAATCCCCAAAATAAGTCTAATACAACCCTGCAAACAGAGACCAGTAACATGAAAAAAGTTCTATAATGTTAATGGCTTCACTGGGAAACCCCAACAAACTCCCATGGAATCTCAAGCTTCACAAGAGCATGGTCTGAAAACAACGGATTGACTAATCCTTATGTTTGTGGATTAGGAAGTTTTCCAGTAGGTATGACTGACAAGTGACCCAGGGGACAGAATGCCTTCATTTGAAACATGTGACCATTCTGATCAGAGGAAACCTTTCTGTGCTGCACCTGCTCTCTGTTTATGACACCAGATCTGAATTACAGAGGCTCATCTGTAAAAGTCAGATGAGTCTTGCCTTGGGGCAGGATGCTTAACTACATAAGAGTTTTGCTTCTAGTTTCAGAAAGAAAAAAGATGGTAAGTTTGTTCCATTTCCAGTATTACAGATCTCAGCAGGCGTATCAGAACGCTAGGAACTACTCTTAAAACACTAATGGTTGTTTTATTCAAAACTGTCCCCAAATGTTTGATACTTCAGCAGCATGTTCCCATGTCCACGACAACAAGCACCATTGCCCAAATTTATTGTGGCAAATCAAATTTTCAAAGCGATGCACCATCACGTACATCAAAAAAGTTATATATAGGTCTACTTCGATCAAGTAGCCCTCTTACTGTTGTGCCACAGAAAAATCGCCTCTTATTCCCTCGACTGCCAAATCCCCATCCACTGTTCTAAACCTGGGGTTTACCTGCCTCCACAAAGACGGGTTACCTTCCGATCTACTTAACAAAGTAAGACTACCTGCAAAGGAACGCTTCCAGAGCCCCCTGCCCGCCAGCCAGCCAGCCAGCCTGACAACCCCCGCCTCGAGTCCCCCTCATCCGCCGCCCAAATGGAAGCTTCTCCCACAGCCGTCTCCCCCATTCCGCTCTCATCCTTGAGTCCCCTCCCTGGCCACAGCCCCGACGCGCATGCGCGGTGGCAGCTCCCTCACCGTTGCCGGGCGACTCTCTCCTCGGCCCTCAGTTTCAGCAGCAGGTTCCTCCGACTCTTTCCGTTCAAGGGCCCTGTCCGGCTGGGCCTCGCACGGTTCTTCAGGGCTGGTTCTCCAGCAGGAACAGCCGCGGGTAACAAGTGTGAAGCTGCCGTGCCGTACCGGCCCCGCCCCTCCAGGCCAGACAAATACACACTCTCCGGCGTGTGCGAGAGAAGTCCTCAATCCCCGTAGCGCAAGCTTCTCCGCTGACGGACTCTTCAACCGTAGTAGCAGAAAGCGGCAGTATCAGAAAGGAAATGACGTGCCCCTGACTGACAGGAGTAACGAGCGCGCCTCGTTTCGTCCCCCTCCCCCTTTCTTTCCCTCCCAATTGGCAGGAACTGACGTAACACAACGGAGGCGGGACTCAAAAGGCAGTGAAGCTATCTCCAAGGCAGCGAATGAGGGAAGATAGGTGGGTGTGGTCGACTGATGAAACACGAAGGGAGAAAGAAAGCAGAAAGGAGCAGGCGGCGTGATCCAATCTGTTCTGTTCTGTGCGAAATAGTGGAGAGTTTGTATTACGGTATCAGGACTACAGTATGGCCTAACCGACAAATTCAACAGATATAGCTTTTTTTTTTTTTTTTTGCCATGATAGGGGAAGCATCAGCGGTTGAGTTTCTGAGAGTTATTCAGCTATTAAAAGCACAGAGACCATACAAAGGAAAAAGCCCCAATTTTCCTTGTATATCCATGTATGCCTTTATAGTCTTTTATACGTAAACCAGAATAATTAACCTTCCCCCGTTCAATATACATAGCTGTCAAGGGATGTTAGATTCCTCACTTTGTAAAAAATGTGAATGGTGCATTGATAACATAAAACTATAATTCTACAAACATTCTAATTCTACATAAGATAAAAATCAGATGATACTCCATTTCCTGTAAGTGCTGGGTTACATACAAGAAAAAATGCATTTTTAAACATCAGTGTTTCCTTGTAACAACAAATTGGATGCATTCCTTGAACCTGCCACCTTGAATATATAACCTTAGTTACAGACCTTCTAATCCTTAAAATCTTTGTGAGACCCCCTCACTCTGGGGGACAGCTGTAGTTCAGCAGTAGAACATGTTGATTTGGCATGTAAAAGCTTTTGGATTTAGTCCCTGGCATTTCCTATTAGGATTGGGAAAGACCCTGAAGAGTTGGTGCCAGTCAGTGTCAACAGTACTGAGCTAGATGGACCAGTAGTCTGATTCAGTGTAAGAAAGCTTCTTATGTTCCCTATTTTAAAATTTTTGATCTAGCAAAAGAGAGGTTATAGAGAATGATTATGGAGATTCTCAGAAAAACATGAATCAATATTTTCCAATATTCTAATTCAATTTGGCTTTAATGTGTTAATTTAACTTTAATAAGCAAACTTAAAGTGTGCTATGCTACTATATGCCATATAAATACATTCCAACACATTCCTCTGGCCAAAAGTAGTCGAAACATGGGTGAAAATTTCAATAATGTGCTCTTGAGGTTCAATGCTATGCTTATTTACTCAAAAATGTCTTGCTGTGTTCAATGGGATTTACTCCTAGGAAAGTACAAAAGATTCAAAGCTTTGCTTGGACACTATTCTAGTTGGACACACACATACACACGGGGATAGACAACTTTTACAAAACATTTCTGACTCTTTTGCTTTAACTGCAGGAGGGTACTTTGACTATGGGGCTGCTAAAGTAAAAGTCATAGTGATGCTAGTCTCATCATTCCTTTTTTTACTGTGGGGCATGAAGCTAGTGCCCCTCAGTTATGCCAGGCTGGATGGACTGAGGTGGGTGGACTTTGATTTGATTTAAGGATGACTGCCAGAGACAAGCAGCCATCTGCACTAGGGCTTCCGTCTCAAGACAAAGGCTCTACAGTTTGAACTCAAGCAAATCCAGATTGGTAGTGGCAAGAACAGGAACTGGAGGACAAAGGTCAGCAACATGGAGCAACATGACCTTTTCTACACACCCATGATTCATTGTCTTCTTGTCTGGGAACCTATTTCTGTTCCCAAGCTGAATATTTTTGCTGGCAACAAGACAGAACAAAAGACACAAGAAGGAATAAGATCCTTTCTTGGAAGATTATCTTCTGTTTTCCTAGCCTCCACACACAATTTTCTGAAGCAAGCTAATGATAAACCCAGGCGTGTCAGGAATTCAGTTTTATCCAGGAGATAAGTGAGACTTTTCATTTGCCGAATGAATATAGATGTATGATGGATGGGTCTTATTTTATTCCTGGGTATATAGAACTTTCCTCTCAAATCTAAAATAGCAGAGTTTCAACCCATAGGAAGAGAAAATACACCAGAGTAATTCTGAATATGAAATTGGTTTTGCTGTTCAGTGAGAGAATTATTCCAAAGCAACGCTAATGTGATTATAAAATCACTTTTATCAGCTTATTGACTCAACTGAAATTGCTCTGATCTGCCAGACCGTTCCATTAAAAATCTCATTGCTTGCTTTGGAAGATTTTGTCCCCTGAATTTCTCGCAGCAACTTGATTAATGTAATTGAATCCCCCTCTTACACCCACAATCTATCGTACCTATACCTTATTATTCATCTTCTTGCTATCACTTACTATGCACAATATCATTATTATTCCATTTCATGATATTGCATGACATTTATAGCCTGCCTTTTTTCCTCCGGCAGGGAACACAAGGTTGCCCTTCTCTCCATGTTATTCTCACCACAACCCTGTGAGGTAGGTTAGGCTGTGAGTCTAGCTGCTCCAAAGTCACCTAGTGAGCTTCATGGCTGAGTGGGGACTAGTACCCAGATCTCTCATGTACCAGTGCTGTCCTCTAACCACTACACCAAAAGGAGAACTGAACACAATGTTGTACAGGACCACTAATTGCTATATGGTTTAAGAGAATGGCTGTAATATTTTTTATTCTTTTATTGAACTCACCAGATCAAAACAAGCCTCAGTACTGAAGTGTGTCCTTTTTTGAGACCCCTTCTCTCCTCAGTAGTCTCTTGCCTATTCTCATCAAAACTTTCCCCCGTATTTTCTGCAAGCTGACAGTTTCCTTCTTTGATTAACACAAAACATTTCCACATGATTATCACATGATTGATCGTGCTTGTGTAAGGCCTAACCATGTGATCATAAAAGCTGATGGACTCATCCCTTTTTAACTCAGCTATGACTTTGGGAATTTCAGGATACAAAACCTTTATTACTAACCCTTCCCCCCCCACACACACACACCAGCCCCAAATGAGGGATGCAGAGATGAAAGTGAATAATGTCAGCCAGACTCCTATCTATCAGCAATTAGGTTTGGGAAAATACATCCCACTTTGTTACACATTGCTTCATTTCCTAGCAACCACAGAGCCAAATCTCAGTTGAACTGAATCTAAAACTTTTATGTCTGATATAGATTGATAGCACACTTTTTCTTCTTTTCACAAGGAAGAGGTATACCCTTCTGGGTGGTAATAAAAACACCAAGCCAATCTACCCTGATGGACTTTCCACAGCAAAGTACCTTATGCTAGGAAATCTGTTTGACCTGTTAGACCTCAGCCTTATATTCATTTACCTTCTGAGTGAATGTGGCCAGGATTATACTGTTAGCCTATCTTGGTAGCAGACCTTGTGGTAAAAGAACTTTCCCAACCTCCTAATCTTATAACTGAAACTTAATTTTTTTTCAGAGTTACGAATGGTAATCAACTGCAACTATATTAATTAGGCAGTAGTACTTAGTAGTTCTATGCTCTTCCCTCTGTGTGTTTGGGAAAGCCTTAATTCTTGATATAAAACTGAAATATCCATTTACCAGTGACACGTAGCACAGCAGATTATTTACACACAGAAATAGTTGTAGAACAGGGGTGGGCAACGTGCAGCTCTTGCTACCCCTCATGCACCTATAGCTGAGTTGTCAATTTTTTGAAGGCATACCATGAAGGAAGCTTCAGATGATCCCAAGTTGCCACCCCTGCTCTACCACTACAATCGATTGATTGTCATACAGAATCAATATATAAGTATAGATTTAGTATTCGAAAATCAGGGCACATGAAAAAGAATTCTAAACTTGGCTGATTTTTTGTATTTATCCTATAAAGAGATACAGCATTTACAAGTTCCACTTAACCAGTTTTGAAATACCCTTCAGACAATGTTATAGTGGCTACATGGTTGTCAGCCGATCCCAGTCGAGCAACAACTTCAACCAAGCTGCAAAATCTAAGCAGGCACCTAAACAGAAAAGGGATGGGAAACCAAAGAAGAAAGTGTTAAAGTGTAACCCAGGGACATCAACCAATCGATGCCTTAACAGTTGGCAAGAGGCAGAGCTTGCAAAAAGGGAAGTGTATGCTTCAATTTCATGTGCAAATGAAAGGTAATTTGAATCTAAATATTTAATAATTCGGTAGGCCAAGAAGGAGATAATTTCTGCTTGACAGTCTTTCCAGGCAGACTGACTAGGACCTTGGAAAATCCATTATGTTGACATGTCCTTGTGCTCCCAGATGTCTCTCTTGGTTCCTAGCAGGTTCTCTGCACTTCCTGATTTTTATTCCTTTTAGATTAGGAACCGCTTTATTATAATGATTCAGGATTAACTTCCAGAAGAGTGGCTGATTCATTTGTGGCAGCAACTGCAGAGACTTGTGGCACCTTAAAGACTTGCAGTGTAATCTTATACATGTCTACTGAGAATAAGTCCATTATGTTCAATTAGACTTACTTTGAGGTAAGTAGCCTAGCAGATTTACTATTATGGCAGAATGTACACAGGTGTTAACTTCCACAGGAAATGTAATAGGGAAAAAGTGAAAAGGTAGATTTTGCATTCTAAGCAATTGGCAAAGAAATTCACATTAAAAAGAAAAAAAAAATTAGTGTTGATTCCTCAGTTGGGTGTTGTGCTTTTAAAAATAGAATATAGTCATGCCAAGTTGTACAGTTTAAGTCTAGCATCTCACAGGTAAAAATTATCTGTGATCTATTCAGTGGGGTTTCTAGGGAACATATATGGGGAAAAACAATTTCTGCCACTATGGCATGCAATATTTTCCTTTATCTAAAATTCCCAGTTTAATTTTGGTGTAGTTTTTTTTTTCCTGTCCAGGTTAATTACATATCCATTCTATATTTACCGTCTTTGGCTTCTAACTCAGTATTTACTTACTCTAAATTAAATTCCTGGTTTTATTAGCACATTAATAATTGCTTAAATAATGACAAAGCAGGCTTTAATCAGTGATATTCCTTATTATATATCAGGAAACATTATCCTATTATGAAAGGAAAGATTATAGAACAGGCTTTAACACAAACAGTTTCTCCTGCTGCAGATGGCATATTCACATGACTGTTCCTGAAAAATGTTGACACTGCGATAGGTTAGTTCCTTAAATATGGAAGTATTTTTTTGGCCCAATCTGTATATTAAATGAAACTTCAAAATGATGTAATTGGCACATCCAAACAATTGTCCTATATGGCCTGTGCTCAGTGCTTTTTTTGTAAAAAAAAAAAAAAAAAGGCAGAGGAACTCAGTTGCTACCTTGCCACCGGCAGTAAGCACTCAGCGCATGACTACACACACCAATCCCAAGCCAAGCAGCACCCTCACTATCTCACTATCAGATAGCAGACACAAAAGCAGCCCGCAGGCATTATGTTAATGATGTTTGCTGCTGATCTGCTACGCCCAACAGGCGGAGATTCAAAATCACTTCGTAAAATCCATTGGGGAAAAAAGGTGCCGGAACGCTGTTCCGGTGCGTTCGATGACAAAAAAAGCCCTGCCTGTGCTATTCCTGTACTTGGTTTCTGTGCAAAAGCTGTAATGCAGTAATAGGATGGCTACAACTTCTTACTGAGTTCAGTAGCTAATTTTTCTATGACTCACAATCCAATCTTTTTCTGTAAATCACATGAGTTGAAACATAATCCTACATACATGCATGCTTTGATCACCAGCACTAATAATTTCAGCTTACGTTATGAGAATGATATTTAAATTGAATTTTGGTGCTATGCTTCTCTTAGTGAACTTTTTCAGCTTTACTTTCATTTTTATATTAATAGTTCATGGTCTGACCTGCCATCTGCTCCTGGTCTTGTTTTGGCAACAAGAATACATCTTCTCAATCTTCTACTTCCAATGTCATGGTCTATTTGATTTATGTTGGAATATACTGTGGTCTAAACAAGTTATTCTCTGAAAATACAGATACAACTAGGGCAGAGGAAAACAACTAGTATATATTCTGTCTATGTGGCATAGACTCCCAAGTTTGCTTTGAGCTAGGGACTGTTGATCCTGAATGTTAGCAACTCTCATTGTAAGAGAAAGGGAGCATTGTAAACTATGGGGAAGCTCCAATAACAGGAGTCTCAATAGTAATAATCTGTCTACCAGCTCAGGCGCTAACCCAAACCCTAACCTTATTGTTGTAGGAGATGGCTTTCTTCTACTAGAAAGAAAGCACTACCCTTCTGGGTTTCAACCCTGTACTATCTGTCTTCTGTGCAGAACAGAAATTTTCCTCTGAGGATCCTTATCAGTTCTAGCAAAGATTGTTCTTTATCTGACACTAATATTTCTGTTTTTCATTGCTTATAGTTCTCACCTGTCTAACATGCCTTCTCTCCTGAATGTGCATTTAAGTGACTTAGATATTCATTTCTGCATGTCACATCATTATATCCCAAATTTATTAGGACACAATTTTTTACATGTCTGGGGAGGAGAAAGTTCTGCCCCAAAAATGCACAGGATTGTGCCCTGAAATACTTCCTGATGAATATGAGCACCAAACAAGCCTAGAAATTGAGGACTGAGTAGGACCTGAAATCTTTGTGTAAGAAAATGCACACACAAACAGAATGGGTGGACAGGGCCCTTGACAACAGGATTCAACACTAGAGCCAGTGAGCATGGTTACAGGGGTGTTTCCATGGACCCAGCTGATAAAGTAGAATAAAGTGCCTAATATTGGTTGGGGAGGCAGAACACCCACTCCCCAGCTGTCAAAGACTTATTGGTATTCTATAATTTTCATTTCTCTCAATAACTATTCAATAATTCAATAAACAAATACTAAACAGTAAACAATTCCATTCCATTTCAGGCAAAGGTTATTCACATACTGGTAACCTCTCGTCTAGAATAGATCGTTGCAGTTATTGCTTTATTATTGCTTTACTTGGGTCTTCCCTTGAAGATGATCCAGAAACTTCAGTTGGTCCAGAACTGGGCAGTGAGGGTGTTGATGAGGACTTGCAGGTATGAGGATGTAAAGCCAGTCCTTTGCCATCCTCACTGGTTACCAAGTGAAGTCCAGGTCCAATTCAAGATTTGAAGACTTGTGTTTAAAGCCTTAAACAGCCTGGAAACAAGGTATCTAAAGGAGTACCTCTTCCCACATGTACCTACCCTTAGCTCATCATCAGAAGCCCTTCTAAAGGAGCCCCCTCCTTAGGAAATAAGGAGGGTGACTACAAGAAGGGCCTTCTTAGGAGTGGCACCCCAACTTTGAAATCAGCTCCCCAGAGGTGTTTGTCTGGTTCCTTTGTATTCTTTCTGGTGCCAAGCAAAATTATTTTCCCAGTATTTTAACTATTAAATGATTTTTAACGGTTTTAACATTTTATATCTGGTTATTGGCTGTGGTTATGTTTTTCATGTCACTTTGGGTTCTCTGAAGTTTAATCATGGTCTGGTATTACTACTTAGGTTGTTCAGATTTAAATATTGTTTTATTGTATATTGTTGTTTTATCATTGATATTTTATTTGTAACCTGCCCAGGGAACCTTATGTTAATGGGGTAGGGGGAAAACAAACAAATACCATAAATACACTGGCATATAACACAACCCTTGAAACCAAAAATAGCAAAGCAAAAATCTGGGATTGTCTTATATGCCAGGTGAAATTTTTTCCTTAGCTGCTTCCTCCAGTTTCACACCATCTTCTCAGTAACATTGAACCTTGTAGCTGCATTACAATTACCCCTTTCTCAGTTTGAATAACCTTTAGCTTAAAACAAGACTCAACAGGTGTGGCCCACTCTGGAGAATTCATCCTGCTTTGCATTGTATCACACATGGCCAGAGTCCAGCACCCACCCTGCCCAGTTGCCTGCTCTCACCGGGTGGTGGTGTGCCTTTCCAGGATGGCTGCAGCTGTGGCTAGGAAGGGGCATGTTCCCTGTACAGCTCTCTGTGGAGAGAGGCAACTCTGCCTGTGCGGGCCGCCTCCCTCTTGCCCTCCCCCTGCATTCATTCACAGTGTCAGCCATGGCATCCGCCATCCTCCCTGACCAATCCAAGCCAGCCAGTCCCCTTGCAGGCCACCATCAGCCTCCAACTTTGCTATTGTACCTTTCTGCAAACCATCCAGAGAGCTTTGGCTACAGGCAGCATAGAAATGAAATGAATGAATGAATAAATAAAATAAGCATAACATTTTCATCTTTTGTGGCAATCCATGGTTTAGGGTTTGTTTTTTTTAAAGCTGTCATATTACTTTACAAAACTTTCTGTAGACACAGATCTCACAGATATGAGCCAAGGCCTATAGAAAGGGAATGTGAGCTCTACTGAAATTGGAAAGGTAACATGACTTTTAGCTTGAATAATGTGATTTCATGAGAGTCTAGAAGCTTCCAGCTGACCAATACTCATATATACAAAATGACCCTTGAAACCGGAAATAGCACAGCAAAAATGGGGGGAGGGATCATCTTATATGCCCAACATATGATGAACACCAGAAAAACAGCCCAAAATATTGACCTTGTCTTCTACACAAGTTTTCTTATATGCAGGTATATACAATAGCTCTTTGATCTGTCGCCTTTGTTTTATTCAACTGTACATATGTTTGTGATTTATTTTAGCAATATTGAATGTGATAATAAAACTTTACTGTTTGCCAGTTAAGTAAGCAGATGTAAAAATTTGCCAGAAATGTAGTCATATGTTAATCCCATCCTGATCACCTTGAGTCTCCCTCCATTTCCCAGTACTTGCATAATATGTGAAACTATTTCTGCATCCCCCAGGAAAGTGTGGACAAAACCTCTCCTATCTTCTAATTAGTGTACTTCTCATTCTGACTGATGTCTGGTGCAGTTCCTATTTCCCTTATTGAGGAAATCAAATAAGAGTACCATTTTCACACTGAAACCATTTTCTTCCACCTATTAGCAAGATGTTTGTGTGTTCCCTTTCCATTGCCTGAATTTCAAACTGTTCACAACATATTTGCATAGTTGTTAAGCTCTGGGCTCAGTAAATGTGGGTGGTGGAGGGAATCAAGATAATATTTTGCTTTTCTTTCTGCTTTTCCATTCTGCAGGTGGATATTCCCACCCCTAGCTGTGCCCAGCCTGCTTTGTGAAATCCTGTCATTTGCTCAACTACGCCTGCTGCAGGCTTATCAATATTAATTGAGGTGGGCTGAGATGGGAGGAGGGATCAGGGATTAGTGTGACCTTTTCCATCCCATGCTGGTTCAGACGGTCAAAAAGAAGCTGAGAAGAGAGAAGCAGGACAGGTAATGGGATGTGGCTTTAGTATCTTTTTCTCCCATAATAAAACAGAAAGCTATACAATCATAATAGCTTTTTATGGTATTTATGAAAGGACAGATGTTAGTGGTAATCTTTGAGTCAAATTTATTCCTGACTGAATCACCATTTCCCAGGATGTTTTATATCCTTGTTGCTTGGGAAAAAATCTTAAGCAATTAGCACAAAGAAGCTGAAATAGGTTAAATATTTAAATACTGGAATGTTTGTCTAATCAGAACCCTTCTGCATGAATTGTGAACAGGGAAGGGGTGAGGAGGAACAAAGCGATCCACACATCTGTTGTTCCATTGTTAAGCACAATTGTTCACAATTGGTAATCCAGACATTTATTTTGTGGTTTTGTTCTGTTAAAGGAAACTGGGATGTTTTGATCTTATTATAAACAATGCCTTTTGCATAGGCTAGCAAAAGTATTGTTAATTGTTAAGAGGATATTCTAGAAAATAATTAACCATCTGAGAAACCTGATTTCTGTGTATTAGCATTTGGCTTTTCATTTACTATAAAGAAAAGCCTCTCCTTATTGCACAATAAATCAATACATTCCTTCCCTCCTCTTTCCTTGTTTTTCTTCGTGTTTGTTTGTAAAATCTAATCTCTTGTGGTGCATAACATTTATATTATATTGGATTCAACAGAAAATGTGGTCCAGGGATGTTTACAGATATATTTGTAATATGTTACAAGCTAACAAAGCCAAGGGTGTGTTTCTTCTCTCTTTGTCAGGATCCATCATGTCTGACAAACCAGATTTTGCAGAAATTGAAACATTTGATAAGACCAAACTGAAAAAAACTGAAACAAGAGAAAAAAATCCACTGCCTACTAAGGAAAGTAAGTTATTCCTATTCAGCCTGGACATACAATTATTGCCTTGCTTGATATATGTAATGCATAAATACTCAAGGTCCTAATGTTCCAGAATCACTTCTTACCATGGAATCCTATACGTAACTACTCAGAAATAAGTGAGAATAGGAATGCAGCCTTAAAGAAAAATTAATTTGGCTTGATTATATGTATGTAGCTGTAATGTACATTGGCAAATTAAATTACACGTGGTGAGTTTAAACTGTGTTCTTGAATTTACAGTATGTCAAAGGTAATAATATAACTTGCAGTCTGAAAATCCATCTTACCAGACTCTCTGGAAGCACAATAATTATATATTTGAATTTCAAGTCTAAGACCTGCTTTAATATATGCTAGAATGGTAGCCATATTTGACTGTTACCAGCACAGAGAAAGAGAGAGTGAGAGAATGAGAGAAAGGATGCTATCGCACATAATAGCCTGACAAATTTCTTGTGGCATAAAGGATTATGCCAGAATAGTCCACAAATGCTTATGCTACAATGAATCTGCTATTTTCTGCATTGCCGTTATGCTTTTATTTTCCAAATACATTTAGCCCAAAATACATCATTCTATTATTACCATAAAAAAAAATCCTCCATCATAGAAAGATTGTTTAGTGCTGCCCTCTTCTGGATTGTCTGTCACATGTCTACTATTATAGTGCAGCCCTGAGTGAAGAGGCTGCTGCCTACACACATGCCAGGGTGAGGCTCTATGCTTCAAACGCCACAGACCCTCATGGCTGGGTGGCATCCTGAATACTCAAGGCCCAATCATGGGTTGTTGTAGTGTGTGATCCTGGGCAACGGGGGTTAAACATAGCCTGTTCTCACATCAACTTGCCAGGCAGATTCATACAACATGGCAAGTGATGGTTGGCAGTTGAATATCCGGGATAGCACCTGCAGGCAGTGTGGTTCATCACAGCTTGAATAAGCAGCAACAAGCCACAGCATGTTGTGCGGATCTACTGGGTGAGCCTTTAATGTGCCACAACTCTGATGTTTTTGTTGCAAAGAGGTAACATGGCTAATCCCTAGAATTTGACCAATGTGATGTGAATTAGATTATAGTTATCATATATTAGTAGCCTAAAAATGCATACTTTAATTTTAATCTGCCACTGTAATCAGCAAGAAATTTATAATCCTTGGATTTATAGATTATAAATTATAATCTATGGAGCTGGAATACTACTGACATTCTCCTCTCCTCTCACAGCAGATTTTATAAAAACCTGGCACGTGATATATATTACCCAGTTCTGAACCTTGTTTACCATCCAGTGCAATACAGCCAATAACTCTTTGAACTTAGAGCTGCTCTGTTTGGCAAAGTTGCTATTGTGCTAGAATCTACCCTTCGCATGTAACAAAACAAGAATGGCATATGCTAGAGCAGGAATTCCCAAAATGGGTGATACCTCCCCCCTGGGGGTCGTGGAAAGAGCCAGGAGGGTGGTGATTGTTTTCAATTTGCAGTAGAGCAATAGACCTAATACAAAGGCATGGGGGCACTAGGGTTGTTGTCCAAGAGGAAAGGAGTAGCAGCCCAAAAACATACGGGGACCACTGTCCTAGACAGAGATGACCGGTTCTGACAACCCAATTCCTCAATGCAATCAGGTAGAAATGTACATAGTCATACTGACAAAGAATGAGGTTAACTGGCCACACAGATGGGGAAAACCAGCAGTCTTCTCTGTGATCACTGATGTTGTGGAAAGCACACTTACAATCACAACAGCTGTCAGCTTCATCTGTTAACAATAGGCTTTCTCCAAACTCTGAGCACCCACCTAAAGGGATCATGTAGAGGAATTTGTGTGAACTAGGCCAAGCACCATGAAAACTACTGAATGGTTTCAGCCTCTTGTTCCATTACATATACTATGACAGCAGTATGCAATTGGTTGAAAAAATGCATAACATGTTCTTGCCCACAGTGTGGAAAGGAGAGGTGTGCACTAAACTGACAAACTGTTATCATGTCAGAAAGCTGTTTTGTCTTCAGAATTTCCAGATTATTTTACAGGATCTTTAAAACAACAACAACCAGGACATTAGAACCATTAGAATAACCTAGCATTCTGTACTTTAACAAGTTCTGAATAAAATCATGAAAACAAGAAGGGAAAAAAAGAATGCAAATACAATTTGTGCATGACTTTATACATTCAATTGTGACCATTTGGGGGAAGGCATGTGTTATTAGAATGAAAGAAATGCTTAGTCATCTACTTTTAAATTCGTTTTTTGGCTACCCACATGTCTTAGCTTCTGTCTAACAAGATCTGTTGGTGACTAAGTAGGGCTAGATCCATTTGAAGGTAATCAGAGTCTTATTCTTACCCAAGGACTTCCTGTCAGTGGCATTACTGAGCATAAACGCACATCCTAAAACACAATCATGTGCACGTTTTGACAGAAAAAAAGGCCTACATCTTCCACCATGCCCCAAATAGCACACTTAAGCAACTTTCTTGGGTGGTAACTAAAATGAGGCAAATATTAATCTGCAGCTCAAGGAGAGCATTAAGAAATGCAGTAGGTGGAAATGAACCTAAAGATAAGGCATTCACCCACATAATCAGCTTTTTACCCTGCCTTCATTCCAAAGAGTGCAGAGTGACACATGCTGGTCCTTTTTTCCTTGAAACTGTACAAGATGACCCTGAGGATGCCATAGTAGAGCAAACAATTGAACCCCAATCTCCCAATCTAAATCTAGCATGCTATCTATATCCCACATTTCATCATCTGTTGTGAACCAAGGAAAAGTCTTCCTTAGCATTAACTTCTCCAGAAGCAGCGTCCTGTCTAGCTTGAGAAACAGTGAGTGATGCTGGTCTAGCACACAGGGGCAGCAAAGCTGTGGCCCTCCAGAGGTTTTGACCTACAGCTGTGATTAGCCCTAGCCAGCTTCATGGCTGATAAAAAGGGATAATGGAAGTTGTAGACCAACAACATCCACAAGGCCACACATTTCCCATGCCTGTGATAAACCAGTGTCAACCATGTTTCTCTGCACAGGATTTGCTTCTGTGTTACTCACCAAGATTCCCCATGCCAGTCCCAAGAGCTGTGTGCCATGACCCAGCAGTAACTTGTGCATCAGTAGCCAATGAGAAATTATTGCTGGGAATGGAAATGATTGCAATTTGTTCCTTTTGAAATTGTTAATGCAAATGTTCTGCACAAATTAACAGAAGAAAATATCAATTATTTGCTAAGTATTTGGAATAATAGATGCTATAGAAACATCATGTGTTGGTAAATGGTCTTTCTCTGGTTTTCTTGGCAGCCATTGAACAGGAAAAGCAAAGCAAAAACACACCCTGAAGGTGGATCAGAAGATATGGCTGACATCTCCTCCTGTGGGGTTTTAAGTTCTAAGTTTTTTTAACTTTGCTATTTGTTAGGTTTTTTAAAATATCACTTGTTTGTGTATTTTTGCCTTCTTGGTGCAGCAGGGTCTTTTTTTTAAAGCAATGCTCTGAAGCCAATCAAATCCATCTTTTGTAATTTCCAAAAGGGACTACAATCCTGTGTCCAATACACATGTGACAATTTGCCAAAAATGTACACTTTTGTTGTATGTCAACAAAAAATATTATTTTCATACAGTATTTGATGTAGAACCTCACAATAAACCAATTTCTTATGTGTTACTCTTCTTTATAATTGAAATATGAAGCTTCAGAGTGGCACACCCAGAAAGCATGTCCTTAGATGCTGTTAGACATAAGATTTAACCTTCAGGTTACAGTTCATTATGGGTCTAACCCCATTCACACACCATAAATGTTTTGCTTCTGGAAATTGACAGGGAAATACCTCTTGTAACAAGAGGTACAACCAACCCTAACCCTAAAGTTAACTTCTATGATAATTAGAAGAAATTACCATTCTGAATTGCCAGTCTTTGAAGGTGCAAGTTTTATATGCCCTCACATTTAGCCAGTTGTACAATGTGCTGCAATAAGACATGTCACATGAAGGTGTGGTTTTCAACAGGCAGCCCCCACTTGGTGTGAACATGGTCACCAAGGATTCTGCCATAGTTTAACAGTTGTGTCGCCTGATACGCAACACTTTCTGATGGGCTTGGTGCATGAACTGAGGCATAGATTCATATATAAAATGGTCTGAAGATTAGTTTTGTATTATTTCTCAAGACAAGTTTAAATATTAATCTGTCAAAATCTGTTTTCTGGTACCTCTGATGTAGCTCAAGTTACCTAGACCCTAGATTTCAGAATCAGCCAATGTGGCTAAATCATGATGGAAAAGTCCAGGGTAAAGGGCTCTTCACACATTCATAGTGACATTATGGAATCTGTTGATTTAGGGGAGTGGACCGATTCATGGGCAGTCAAGGCTAGCAATAGTTTCCAGGCAAGATGACTATGCCTCTTGCAAGACCAGAGGCAACATGCTCTGAATTACCGCTGCTGGGAACAATACCAGGAGGAGAGCAATTGCTTTCTTGCCTTACCTGAGGGGCTTCAGGAAACAGGATAGAGTGCTACATAGGCCTTTGGTCTGATCCAGAAAAGCCGTTCTTACATGTCTACAGCATAGTTTTAGTAACTTTTCACCTGAAATATAAATCCTTTCTTCTTTGCTAAGTGTAACTATGTTAAGCTTTACAAAACACATGCAAGTTTTCACTATCTCACTATCTCCATAATAGCAGATTTTATATAAAGCCAAGTTTTGTTTTATTCTAATTGCCTAGTGCCACATTTGCAAGGTATACATTGTACATGTAGTACTAAATTGTTCCACTAGATGGTACTTTACCACCACCATACAAGGTCTCTCTGCCCCTCTCCCCTCAAATCCAGAAACTAAAGAGAGAAAATATTTAGATCTAGAGTGAGTATTTGCTTTTCCGGAGATGGCCAACCTTCTAGATGTTTTGAGCTACAATACCCATAATTCCTCAACATTGGCTTACTGACTAGACCTGGTAAAAGTAGCTGACTGAGAGTATGAATTAAATCAATGCATCTTCATATTTGCGTAATACGGCCAAAATAACAAACTTTTTTTCTTTTTCACAAAAGGAAGGATTGATTTTGCTTTCATCAAAATGCCAGTATGTTCAATTTTCTGAAAAAACATAGATCTACTGTCATTCAGAAAGCCTCATAGTAACAGCACTGCTGTTTCAAACTGTCAGAGTTAAGGCTTTCTATATACTAAATTTAAGATTGGTTCTCTACAGGAAACTTTTAAGAAGTGTCTGTGTTCTACTTAGGCTGCAGTCCTATGCTTCTATAAATGAAATCAGTCCCTTGAACTGTGAATACAGCTGGGACTAGATTGTGAATAAACATTCACAGAATTTTGCAGCACATATGCATTCATTCTGTGGCCCAGAGAGCTAGTTGAAGTATCCACAGAATTGAAGGAATCAAAAAGACAGGTGAGTTCCACTTCTGCTGTAATATGTGAAATGGGAGTTGTGGGTCCCATCTCTCATCATAGTGATTCATGGGTTACTTTCACCCACACAAATTACATTGTGGATCAAACAAAGCCAGGCTGCAAAGAATGCACAAGAGCTGGAACAGTTCTTGCCCTGCAGTTCATTAAGCTCAGCATTGCTCATTCTTACAGAAGATGGAGGTAGAAAGCACTAGGCTCTACTTGCATTGGCTGCACTGGACGAATTTCTTGAATTATTATTCAAGAACACTTTAAATGGATGGAAATCATAGATGCAACAATTCACCATGGTAACCATGGGTGTAACCTTGTCAACCTCCTTTCTTGGCCTTTTGTTATTGTTCAGAATTTATAATTATGATTACATTACATTTCTATACCACCCATAGCTACTAAATACTTTCAGTTGTATTCAAAATATTCCTTTTTGTAATGCCGTGTTGCTATATAAACTCACTGAGCTTCAGCTGCAGTTAAACTGAGAATTGCTTGGTGGTCCAACTTTATGACTAAACGGATTTGAACTCAGTTCTCCTCCATCTATGTTTAGTCCAAACTACTGCAATATGCTATCTCTCTCTCATTGCTTGACCTAAGTTTTGCCAATGACAGGTTCTAAACTTAAAATTATTACTTTCTTTGTTTGGTGATATTCACTAAGAGGGATGCAGGTGGCACAGTGGTTCAAACTGCTGTGCTGTTGATCGAAAGGTCGCTGGTTCGAATCTGCACAACAGGGTGAGTTCCCGTTGCTCCGTCCCAGCTCCTGCCAACCTTGTAGCTCAAAAGCATGCACATGCAAGTAGATAAAAAGGTACCACTTTGGAGGGAAGATAACAGCGTTTTGTGCACTTCAGTGTTTAGTCATGCCACCCACATGACCACAGAGACCGTCTGCAGACAAACACTGGCTCCCTCGGCTAGGAAACAAAGATGAGCACCGCCCCCTAGAGTCAGGCATGACTGGACTTTAACGTCAAGGGGAAACCTTTATCTTTACCTTTTATTCACTAAGAAATCAATTGTTTGGTTGCTGAAATTATTGACTAGACCTATATGTTTTCTTATATTTACATATGAAAACACTGCAAAGCAAGCAGACAGCATGACTTTTCCTAACTAGTAGTTCCCTCTCTCTTCATTTCTCAATTCGTCCCTTCTCACTGTATCCCAGAAGCAACCATCTTGGTCTTATCAGAGCAGTCTGGCTGCCTTCTCTCTTTTTAATGCACACATAAGCAGTACCAGTAAAGGGAACAAGGAAGTGGCTGTGGAAATGGGACAAGAACTATGGCGGTACAGGATTGTCAGCCAAGTAATGGTAGGTCACGTGCACATCTTGAGCTACCTAATGAATGCCATACGCCATTGATTATGACTGTACAGGAGATCAGATAATTGTTCAGTTGGGGAGACTTGGAAAAAAGTTTTTCCTAGGGAAAAGCATGGAATTTGCTTCCAAGGTTGGGGCATGCAATGTAAGTTATGATCACACGTCCCTAAATAATGATAACATACCACAGGAAGCATGTGCAGATATCAGATAGAAGGCATATACAAGATTTTTATGTGTATATTTTGTATATTTATCTGCATCTATCATTTTTCAGTTCAAATTTTCAACAAATATGAAAAGATTACACAGAAATAAGGAGCTTTCTTTGATAAAATAAAAACTTACAAAACTTTCAAATTCAGCAACATCAGAATTTATGCTGTGAACATTTGCATGTACTTTTGATGATTCACTCACAGGAATATTTAAAAGTGAAACTTTTTTTTTTTTAAACCTTGTTGATTTTAAAGAGATAATATCAAAAGCTTTTATTGCCCCCCACTCACAATGATGAGGTGGCTAGATGGAGTCACTGCAGCAGTTGGTGTGAGCTTGAGTGGACTCCGGCGGATGGTGGAGGAGAGGAAGGCCTGGAGGAATGTTGTCCATGGGGTCGCAATGGGTCAGACACAACTTCGCAACTAACAACAACAACAACAACAACTCACAATGAAGAATGCTGTCAATTTAGAAGAATTATCAGTTTAAGTGTTCCAAAGAGAATGAATGACATACTCAGTCCTCAGCCCTTTGACACAGAATCATAGACTAGTAGAGCTGGAAGGAGCAAGAAAGCCATCAGGTCCAATTTGCTCCTCAGTGCAGGACTCCAACTTAAACCATCCCTCTCAGGTGGCTGTCCAGTTGCATTGTGAATGTCTGTAGTGTGGGAGAGCCCACAACCTCCCAGTGTAGTTGGTTCCATTGTCCTACTGCTGTAACAGGAACTTCTTTCTGTTATGTGGTTGGAATCTGGCTTGGTGTAACTTGAGCCTGTTATTCTGTGCCCTGCTCTCTAGGATGACTGAGAAGAGATCCTGGCCTTTCTCTCTGTGACAGCCTTTCAAGTACTTGTGGAGTGCTATCATATCTCCCCTCAGTCTTCTCTTCTCAAGGCTAAGCATGCCCAGTTCTTTCCATCTTTCTCATATGGCTTTGTTTCCAGTCCCCAGATCATCCTTGTTGCCCTCCTCTGACCCCTTTCCAGCTGGTCTGCATCTTTCTTAAACTGTGGTGCCCAGAAATGGGTGCAGTACCCCAGATGGGGCCTAACCAGTGCTGAGTAAAGAGGAACTAAGTACTTCACAGGAGTTAGAAGCAATAGTTCTATTAATGAAACATAAAATAGCATTTGCCTCTTTTTGCAACCTCATCACATTCTTGACTCATATTCAGCATGTGATCTATAACAATTCCAAGATCTTTCTCATTTGCTGTATTGTTGAGCCAAGCATCCCCCACCATATAAGGATGCATTTAGTTTCTTTTCCTAGGTGCAGAACTTGGCATTTGTCCTATTGCCATTCTGTTGCTTTCAGCCCAGCACGCCAACCTATCAAGATCACCTTGAATCTTATTTCAGTTTTCCATGGTATTAGTTGTC